ACGTCCCACTGGGTATAGTAGTAGGTACCCTCCTACCTAGATAAGGTCCGGCCTCGCGAGCGCCAAGCACGCAACCGAGCGGGGCAGGTACCGTGACATGCGGCTGTGGTTGCAAACTCATCAGACACATGTTTCGTATCGGAGCCGTTATAGTGTGAGCACCGCCTGCCGAGCACCGACTGCTCCATTGGTAAACACTTAACCGGTCCGATCCGGCAAGTTGCAGCTTGTGGCAAGTTGCAACCCGGTCACGTCGGCGGTCGCGGCAACTGTTTCGCACGTCTGAGGTTCAATGGACCGTTCATCGATTGACAGTTGGCGCTCGGCAGTTGCTTCTTGAGTTAACTGAGGTTGTACCAAGTGTGACGTCAAGCCGGAGGGGTCACACCTCGGCGTTATCTCAGTTGTTGAAAGCCGACGGAGTTGATAAAATGCGTCGAAGGAGTTGTGGAATGTTGAAACCTATGAGCGATTCGACGAGAGAGGTGTTGGAGCTTTCTATTATTTCAGGAAATTGCGGTCACTCTTTCGGCAATGCGAACTCGCTGATGTCACGCGGACAGCTAGATTAATAGAGGACTGATCGGGAGTCAGAGCGGGACTCAGAGTCAGAGATCTCGTTCCAGCTAGAGAGCAGCTGTACTCGCCAGGGGGGCGGCGCCAGGTGTAGTGGATAGGGACGTGGTTGGAGATGCCAATGGCGCCGCTGCAGCAGTAGGCATTGCCCTTTCCAGGATCCTGTTCCTGTCCAGAAAGTCTCCCAGGGCTTCAAGGGAATAGGCACCTCAGCGATGTGCATTATAGACGGCGCCCGATCGTGTTTTGCACACGAGTTGGACATTCATTCTGCTATTCTTGCATTGTCTGCTGCATTACAATTGGCTCTTCTAGTTTCCTAATCGGGCTGGCAGCGGCCTCTGCTCGAGAATTGCTTGCTGAGAAGTCATTACAGGTCCAATTCTTTTCTTGCTACAAGAGATGGCCCTATCTCCAGGAGGAGGGGGTTCTGGGATGGACAACGATGCAGGGTGAGCGTGGGAGCACGTTTTACATAGGGTGGCACGGCTTCGATACAGGATTGGCGGGTTTGCTATCACTCATTGCAGGCACGACAGGGGCGATGCCCTGCGGGTGCTTGTCGACCTTGCAGATCTTGCTCCTTTCCATGGGTGCATTGCCTTCGAATGCCTGACTCAAGGATCTTTTCAGAGCGGTTTTTGAACTAGTCTGTTCCATTGCGCAGTCGCTAGTGTGCTTGTAGTCCAAAGCCTTGGTCACTTGGCAGGAGGCTGGAAATCGGAACAAATTGAGAAGCATGCGAGAAATGATTGGCCTCGATCAATCAACGGCCAGATCTTATCAGTCAGCTGTGCTGTTGATCTATCTTGAATCAAATCCAAATTGATTTTTCAAGCTGTCAAGGTGATCACTTCAGAAGCAGATAAGTGCTCCAAGGAAGCCTGCGTCCGCTGGTCTGCTCAGTACTTCCTATTCATTCTTGTTTCTTGCAATTGCAGAAAGCTTTTTGTTGGCGGAATCTCATGGGAGACCACCGAGGGTAAGTCTGAACTTTCACTTTGGGAATCAGAGTGTCGATAGAATCCAGCGCCCTCTTGAATGATATGTGGATGTGGCTTCTTTCAGTTCCATTACCGAAGTATTTCTTGGTACTGTTTGATTGGTTTGTGTTCGGAATTTGCAGAGCTTGAAGATAGGAGTAGCCGGTCTTAAAGATGTCTTCCCAATGAGAAGAGAGGCAGCGCCTGGTGGCAATACTTTCAGAACAGGGTCTGTTGAGAGAGCATTTGTTAAGCGCATTATTGCTGGCAAATTGTTAATATTTGTGCTTCGAAAAGGGTCAGAGTGTGAGGTACAGATCAGAGCAGATTGCGAAGAGGTGAAAGCCACCATCGGCGGTTTGAGGAGCTTTTCAGAAAATGATCTGATCAACGCAGTTCGGTCAGGTCGGGTGAATTTGTCAATAATTGTCATGTTTGACAATCTCACAGGATATCAATTTCATTGGCGACCAAGCCAGACAATTCGTTTTTGAATGCAGAGCGGCTGAAGCAGCACTTCGAAGCGTACGGCGAGGTTGTTGAAACAATCATCATGAAGGACAGGGCCACAGGCCGAGCGCGCGGGTTTGGATTTGTGGTCTTTGCAGACCCCAGCATTGCTGACCAGGTGGTGCAGGAGAAGCACACCATTGATGGACGCCAGGTGAGGATTCAAAAACTTTTTGACATTTGATTCTCGTGCGAGTAGGGTTGCACAGACTTGTGATCAGATGCGGTTGGATTGTGTGCTGCAGACAATGAGAGGCACTCCTTGATGAATACTCGGAGAAAGCAAAGGCTGATAGGCAGCAGCTTGCTAAGCTTAACTGAACAGGTTCTGGAGTTAGGGTGAATGGCAGCCGAAGATTTCAATCACATCCTTCAACTTCACTCTGTAAGAGCATCTTGTCACGTTGAGATTGCGCACTTGCTGAAGTCACGCTGAGATTGCGCACTTGCTGAAGTCATCATTCCAATACAACTAAAGTTGAAAGGTTGTGAGATGATGGCTTGCATCTCCAAAGTGAAGCAGGATCATGCCATTGTTTACAAGGCATGTGCCACAGATAGAACCGCAACGTCGACACCATGGCCATTGGCGGATTTGTTCTGCTCATGGTTGCCACCAGTAGACCTTCAGCGGTCCACCAATAAGGCCCATATATCCTCTAATTCACTCAGCGCGCCTCTCATTTGATTCAGCTCGCATAGCGCTTCTGCATCCAGGGCATCATATGCAGCTGAGAGCTCTGATATTGTGAAGGTCTCCTGATCCAGAGTGCCTTTTCTGCAGGTGGAGGCTAAGAAGGCTGTTCCCAGAGATGAGCAGCCTGGCCATCCTCGTACGTCCGGGGTTGGCCAACAGTTCAGGACAAAGAAGATCTTTGTAGGCGGGTTGGCTTCCACGGTCACGGAAGGTAAATTCCAAGTTGCTGTCCCATTTGGCTTAGCTCAGAGCGGCCAAACACTCGCACTTGCAACAGTTGAACCAGTCACTCTGAGCATAAGGCACCAGTGTTGGATGACGACCCCAGAACTGTAGAAAGTGCACTTGGCGGCAGTTGTCGATGCTGCCAAAGTTTACAAGAATGTGCTTTATAGTATTGATGAGTCAGGCCCCATGGCAGCAGGTCAAAATTCTTGAAGTGGCAAACGAAGTGGTGAAATTCCATCATCTGCAGAAGGTTTAAGGATTGCAATTAAGCTCACTGCTGACTGGAGTAAGGCATCCACTGCACAGATCAACTCTACTTGAACGCCTCTGACAACTACTGCGAGAGTGATCTGCCGTTTGTAGATGTTGACAGTCTCTGGCTTTGGTTTTTTGCCCAGTCATATTTGGCTTGAAAGAGGGTGATAAGTAGTTCTGAGGAGGTTCAGAGGCTCAGCCCTTCCATCCAAGATCAAGTGACTGATTCCAATTGCTGTGTGATTGCAGAGGACTTCCGCTCCTACTTTGAGAACTTTGGCACCATCACCGACGTTGTGGTCATGTACGACCACCAAACGCAGCGGCCGCGCGGGTTTGGCTTCATCAGCTTTGACCAGGAGTCGTCGGTGGATACAGTGATGGAGAAATCATTCCATGAGCTGAATGGAAAGACGGTGAGTGCCAGTTGCGTACCTTCTTATTTTTCCATGTTTTTAATCAGAAACGAAATAGAGGAGAAGATCATTGGGAGTGAACCTCACCTGATTGCCTTGAAGGGGCCCAACATAAGGGGGCAGCATTCTGCTGGCTAGGAAGTGTTGCCAGATCACCTTCGTAGGCTTGCAGATGCATCTTGCGCTGATCCACACCTTTTGCTAGAGTATGAAGTATCGAAAGCACTTTTCCGAGTGTGGCCATGAGCTCTACTCAGCAGTTGCTTGGCTGAAGCAGGAAGAAAGGTTGCACCATTGTTGACAGATCTTACTCTCGGCGCTCTTGCCCTTAGAGAGAAGGTGGGGGCTGACGTTTTCTGGATGGAAGCTATCAATTCGATTTAGCAGCACTTTGCAGATAGCAAAGACAGTGTTACCTGTGAATACCAACCTTTGACATTGTTCACGTTTTAGGTCGAGGTGAAGCGCGCCATTCCAAAGGAACTGTCTGGTCCAAGCCCAAGCCGGGGGGGTGCGTACGGAGGGGGGCGAGGGGTCAGTCCTTATGGGGGTTACGGGGGCGGTTACGGGAGTGAATACGGAGGCCGTGGGGACAGGGGCGGTGTATATGGCGGCAGGGGTTATGGGGCTTACAGCGGAGGTTATGGTGGCTATGGTTTGAACGGCGCTGGAGGGAGTGGCTATGGTGGCGGTGCGGGGTATGGGTCCGGTTATGGGAGCGGCGGCAGTGGCTATGGCAGTGCATACGGCGCGGGAGGCTATGGTGGAAGCTATGGTGCCGGGTCGTCAAGCAGGTGAGGAAAACATAAAGCCTAAAGTATAAAGCTCGTGGTTCTTTGTAATGGAATCTTGTAAGGGTGGGGTGCTGTATGGCGTCTGATTTTTTGCTGATTGCGTTTCACTTAAGCTATGTTTTGTCGGCAGAAGGTTGCTAGAATGTTCTCTTCTTTCGAAAGCGCAGAGCTGTCTTGATTGTCAAAGGCGATGTACGCACCACCCGGCTACCTCAGCGAACTTCGAAGCGGAAGTCCTTTGCGCAAGGCCTGGTTGAAAGCGGGCGTCCAAAAGCCCTTGTCCCCAGAGTCCCGACATTGTCATCTTAGAAGTGCACCTTTTCGAGTTTCGAGTTTCGAGTCGGCCTCCAATCAGCTTGTTCAAATTGTCCCAACTTTCCATGCTGCAGGTATGGCGCAAGCAGTGCGTACGGTAGCGGTGCCTACGGGGGTTCCGGCTGGGGCGCGGGCACTGGCGCCTCCGGCGGCAGCTCGGCGTATGGCTCCTATGGGGCCAGCGGCTATGGTGGGGCCGATGCGTACGGATCGTCTGCGGGTGCGTATGGCCGGCGGGGCGGGAGAGGTACAGGCCAAGCCTGTGTCACTCATTCTACCTTCTCTCTTCCTTTTGTCTTTTGTTGCTTGGATCCATTTGAGATTCCAACTTCGCTGCAGATTACACTGACGATCAAGGTTGCGGGATCGCCATCTTTGTTCAGTTGCAATCAAGGTGACTGTGGGCCATCGCAGAGAGACACCCCCCTGCCAGTCACTCATTGAAGCAGAGAGGGGTGCTCGATTGTGCCGGTCTTATCAAGATTCCAAAACCGTTCGTAAGTCGCAAGGCGTCCTGGTTGATCTTTTTCCTGGCGCAGCATAGGGATCGGAGGCCAACCGAAACGTGTCTGGAGTTTCCACCAGTTTCTTGTGTCTCCTGCTCAAAGTTCACGATTGACCGTGTCGCATGGTTCTGCTGCCCGTGTGCAGGTGGTGACGCGGGGTACGGCAGTGCTGGGTATGGCTCAGCGGGCGGCAGCACTGCCAGTTACGGCGCGTCAGGGTATGGCGGATACGGTGGCTACGAGCAGGGCTTTGGCTCCTCGAGCGGCGGGACGGCGGGCGCCTACGGGGACGCTTCTTATGGGAGCTATGAGGGGTCGGGACGGGCAGGCCAACGCGGGTCGGATGCGCGCTTCCAATCGTACACCAGAGATCGGTCTGCCAGCTAGGGCAGCATACGGCGGAATGAGTCTCCCGACTGGATGAGCCTTAGGGGCAGCAAGGTTGTAGGGGTAGGGCGGGCTTCAAGTTGCTTCAAGTTCGCTATTCGGGACAGCTGGCACGGAGGCTGGTAGTTGTAGGATGAGGTGCATCCTGCCGGGGTTGAGGCGGGGGCGAGAGGCAGGGTGCAATAGCGCACACTCGTGGCCTTAGTTTGTAAGGAGAATCATGTTCATCGAGAGGACTCTGCTAACGTACCTACTGGTATTGTGCTGGCGCCACAGTAGTCGTGCATCTGCTGTTGCAGAACAGCGTCTGCAGAGGGATGCAATTCATTGCGAGCACCTTGCGGGAGAGCGCTAGCTTGGGAGCACACGGGACTCGATCCGAGCTGGTTGTGCGCCAACGCTGTGGTACTCGACGGCATTTGAATCACACATCTTGGACAATATATAGATAGTCGGTGTAGTGATAAAACTATCGTTTTTGAGTGTTTGATCCGAACATTTTGTTGGGATGTTAGATAGCGTTCGAGCGTCCGTAGTGTATCTGCCATTCTTTGAGGAAGTACGCTATACAGTGGTAAGTCAGCATTCCTGTTGTAATTTCTATTGGCTTGGCTAAGGCCAGTATTTGCAACAACAGTTCAGCCAGTGTATAAGAATTAGAGAATGTTTTACCACAATTTGATACAGCTACTTTTCAAATTTCACGAACCGAGTCTCTTAGTGACTTGGAATAAAGAGACTTCTATAAGTTGTGTAAGTCTTTCGATGGTTTCAACCATCCTTTCCTCCGCGCACTACTCAACTTCAGCTTAAGACGTTTTCCTGATCGAGTCTGCGCAGCACAGAGGAAATTGTGTGCATACTATCAACCTATAATGCATGGTTCGGCGGTGCCAGGGTTCTGAGCGTTTCGAGCTGCGCACCGCACAGCGCCTGACCATACAATTTGATATACATGGTACCTTTCGAGTCGATATTTGATTCCAACATGAGTGCAATGATGCCAGTCGGACATGTTTCGGGTATTGAATCACTTCTGATTAATTCGCCAGCTAAGCATCACAATTAGGTTTGCGATCTAGCCATCTGCAACACGGACTGGGTTGAAGCACGGTACGTCTCGTAATTGAGTCCGGCAACATTGATCGCGAATCCAACATGCCATGATACTCGGTGATATTGCGCGGCGGCCCACCACTCGATCCGGGCATGCTGTACATCAGTACGTACGCGGACGGCACAGGCAAAAGTCGTGAGAGTGCAATGATGCACAGACTTAGCCTGATATGGTGAGGATCGGCCGAGTTATATATACCTTACATAGCATGCATGGCACCGAGAGACTTTGTAACCTGGATCCCGCATTTGCCATCATTGCAGCAACATTGCAACCTTTGGCATTGCACCACCATGTATAGTTAGGCTGATTAATCATTCGCAGGCTGGCTGAATTGCGGCATATTCTCAGCACGAATACGAAAATCGGAAGGGAGAATGTATCGATCAGCGAAAGTTTCAACGAGTAGCCGATTACCAAGTATAGATCCAAATATATGAGAAGATGGTCTGCTTAAACCGACAAAGTATTCAATGCGGTCGGAGTGGAAGGGGCGTACATCAAGGGTGAAACTGCAACAGATGGCAGTTTGTAAGAACCGTCCCCAACCAATTTAGGGCTTTGTCATCTTCACTTGTCTTTCGCAGTGTCTGGTAAGGGCATGCCAAAGACAGTTTGGCCCGTTGGTCGAGGTGGTGAGAAACCGAGCAACTTCTGAACGTTGGGTCTCAGCGCCGCTCCGGCGATGGCGTAAAGAAAGACCTGCAGGCAATGAAAGTGCCGCTCAGCTCCTGTCACTGTCGATTAACAGCGAGTTCAAGCCCGTTATAGAGTAGCAACGCAATCTAATCGCTGCAATGATCAGCACAGCCCACCTGGTAACCGAAGGATGCACGCCTCTGTTTGTCATTTCTCGCACGGGTGAGATGCATTAGAAGACGAGCGCACAGAATACAATCGCTTGGAATAGGTCCCTGCCAGCTGCAAACAGACAGCAATTCCCTAGCTTAAATGCCGACTTAACCAAAGTGAGACATCACAAGCGAGGATGGAGAGCAGCGGTCAGAATCCAATCAAGCTCGCCAGTACAAGGACCTCCAGAGTTGGCGTTTCGGATTGCCGAGGGCCTAATACCGACCTACGTTGGCAGCGGGATCAGCTTTTCCACATGATGTTCGACCAACTTTGCTCAGGAACGTCTGCAAGCAAGGAGTGCTACTAAGCTGTTTGTCGGCCTCACCATCGAGCAGTCGGTAAAGTCCTCCCCCGGGAGGTTGCGATGCGAGAGCGCCCGGAAGATGACAAATGGCGTGAACGGGAGCTTGGCAACCATCTTGCCGTCGAACCTGGGGGTGACATTGATCGCTTTTGAGGATACAGATTTCTGTAAGGACGACCAAGTTGCAAAGATAGTTGTGGCGCGCATTTAGACAAACTTCATGCTGGAAAGTACAATCCCTCTGACTCTGCCCGATCAGCTGAGATGGCAAGGTGTGCGGCTTCCGTGGGGTGCTCATGAACCGACTCTGCGAACTACGCAGAAAACAAAAGCTTTCTCTACTCTCTTCTTTGAATGCTACTCTACAATTGGAAGATGCTCACGGATGTTTATGCACGTGTCAGCAGAATAATCGTAACAGAATGCCACCTCTAATCAGTGAATTGAAATTCTTCCCCAGCGAAAACAAATCACAGAGACTGACGAGATGTGTGCCGCTCACAGGGTGTTCATGATGCTGAAGACGATGAACATGATGCCATAGACAATGATGCTGGTGCGGAACCGCGTGGCGGAGAGCGCCTGGTTCGTGTTTTTCAGGTAGCTGTCCACCCGGTCCATCTTCTTGCTCTTGCCCTTTGCCTTCACCACCGCCGCCGGCTGCCCCTTCATCACCTCCACTGCAGTGACCAGAAGGGGGCATGGCAAGTTGGCCGTCTTAACCGTCTTTGTGTTAACCTGAAGCTTTGAAAATCATAACTCTGATGAATTGGGGCTCCTTAAAGCATAGGTATAAAGTAGGAAGTATACTGCTTCCTGAATTTATCCACACCAGCAAAGAGAAAGAAGTTGTGGCTCTTGACCACGTTTTTAACGTGCCTGGTATGGACGACCATAAAACCAGAAGAACAGCGCTGGGGAATGCATGACCAAAGTGTGGAGTAGGCGTTCGCCACCGCCTTTCCACGGCAAAGGCAAACAAGCTATGTGTCTTGAACTTCCATAACTAACCTGCTTTGACAGAGCAAGCTTGCGGCTTTCGACCTTCAATGTGTTCCAAAGCCTAAACCTGATGTTAAGCAGTGGCAGCGGTGGTAGAAGCAGGCGTGACCAACCAATGACCAGCTTCGTTCTAGACCCCCTTCACCTTCTTTTAGGAGTCATGCCATACTCTTGTTCCAGAGCCAGTCGCTCGTTACGGCAATATTTTCAGAGTTTGGGGATGTCGAAGGCCAGTCGGATAGTCCCTTTTGAAACCAGTGGTAGTGACTACTGTGGGGAATAACCCTCGGCACTTCACCTATTCTCAAGAAATGGTGGCAAAAAGTAGGAATGGTTTTTTTGGGACCGTCACAGAGAAAGCAGAAGTGGAATGCAGATTTGCCGAGCTGAACAACTTGCATCCCAGAGGAGAAGAGTGGGCACGTCTGATTGCCGACTTTGCTAGGTCCTGATCCCTCAACTAGACCAGCAGAAGCTCCAATCAGGATCTTCACCCATGTGTTCGAGAGACCTCTCCTCCCCTGAACTCACCTGAGCTGTTCATTACAGCAACCACCGTATAATCAAGCAGAAGCTGTTCGAAAGAAACAAGGGACCTGAGAACAGACTCACATTTCTTGGTTGCCTTGTCGATGTTGGATCGCAAGTTCTTGTACGTTGCAGTCCGGTACACAAACAGCCAGTTGACCGCCTCGCTGAAAAGTGCAGAACCAAGAGCAATCAAGAGAATTAGCCAGCCCTCCGTGTAAGCCATTCTGGATAAACGGAGGCCACCCTTACACAGACAGGTTTGGCAGGTGATCAATGCACCACGACGGTTGCGCAGATCACATGAGCAGGTCAGCTCTCAATGCCTGCTCCTTCCCACCACCATGTCTTGAGCCAACTCCTTCAATCCTTGTTAGCAGGATTGCTCTCGAGTCTCGATTTTTAGCGGCCTGGCGAGGCCTCCATAATTTCTGCAGCAGGACACACTTCACAGATCTCCAGATGGTGGGTACCTATGACGAGGCGAGGCGCTCAAGTGTCTACCAGTGTTTGGGTTGATATCAAGTTTGTTTAAACCCTGTTGAAGACGCCTGCGTATCGGGGCCTCAAAGAGTAAAGACTGATAACCCAAAGTCCAACACTGACAGTGTCCCTTCGAAGTTCAGAGTCGCATGCAAAGCAAACCAACCTTTTCTTGCTTGAACGGAAGTTGGACTCGGAGCTGTGGCGGTGGCGAGTTGAAAACCTCCACAAGAAGAGCACTCTGTGAAGCGCTGCAAAAGTCACGAGGAGAGTTTGCCACCTTTGGCTGCTCTAGATTTGCAGCTCACATGGCCGCCCCGCTCGATTTTCGGCACCTCGACGAAGGGGTGGGGCATCAGAAGCGAAGGAAACGAAAAGCAGAGGAATGGGAAGAAGAGCAGCAGGCAGCCAAGAGGGTGCCAGTGCCCATGGAGGAGGACACGGGGGCGGTCGCCGCAGTAGCAGAAGAGAAATCTTATACGGGAACTCTAGGGGGGCGGGCATCGGGCAGGAAATGGCGGGCGGCGGTGTCAGAGCGGACGTCGTCATTGAAACGGAATGGCACGGCGGTGCTGAAGACTAGTTGGGAGAAGAAGATGCAGCTGAAAGCGCAAGCGAAGTCCTTCAAAGTGAGTACTTGGTTCATGTCACCAAGTTCAGATTACCCTGCAGTTGGTGGTAACGGTTTGGTTAGTATCTTCCGATTAGCTCTTCAGGAAATAGTCAGATTGCAGACTCTGCGTCTGATTTTATGCCCACCTACAGCTGCACTTGATATTCAGTAGTCTGTGATTTCGGAGACGTCATACCAAGTCTTTTCTTCTTTTCCTGCACCGGTCCGTTTTGTGTTGATAGTAATTCTTGAGCATCAAGTTGCATACGACAGATTCTTCAAGCATCGAGTTTCGGACGTCACTGTTTATATGGAGAACACTGCTGTAAGCATTAGGGGTTCTGGACCTTGTCAGTAATTGTCTTTGGTGCCCCTTTGCCTTGCAGTCATCACATTGTGAATTCAAAGCAGTGACGTCATCTGGGGGGCCTCACTGTAATCCTCTTGTTCTGCAGGAAAGAAAAGAGGTACTCAAGGAGACAATCCGAAGTAACAAGCAGGTACGTGGAGAGTCATGCTGTGACACACTACTGCATTTTGATGTAGTATCTGTTGGCGATGGAAGGGTGGTGCAGATCTGATGTACAGGTGCACCAGCTGGAGTCTGTCTCAACCTGTCATGTATAAGTCGTTCTTTGAAAGAACCACTTTCCAGTCTGTTTTTTGTTGAATCTGTAAAGTATGGGGTGCATGGCCGCATCCTATTGTGGCTGTACTTCACTTCAAAGCCAATTGTTGCTTTTTGTTTATTTTGATATCTACCTCCTCACTGGGCTTGATCCTCTTACCACTAATCGGAGACTTCGTCAGTAAACAAACGGTGAAGCACTGGCGAAGGGCTTATCGGTGTTGGAGATCATTCAGAGGAGCGTACTTTAGCAGTTCTAGTCTCAATCTCTCCGCAGTACTCTTTGAAGCCTCAAGTAAAAGGTTTTGTTCGAGCCAAGTTCCTTGTACCGAATGTTCATCAAAAGATCAATCATGGAATCAAACACTTCAACGTTTCAAATCTCGAACAATGGCAATTGAAGACCAGAGATTGACGCAAATGGCATTGTCTGTCACAAGAAGCCTGCCATGACAGCTAGGCATTAGTTTGACAAGGTGCTGGAGCTTGGAGATTCATACAGCTGGTCATGACGTTTTCCTGCAGGCTAAGCGGGCGCAGGTCGCGGAGCGCAAAAAGAGGAAAGAGGAGAACGAGCTGAAGAGTCTCGTCGTGCAAAAGGTGAGCGGTGTCGATCGTCCACTAGTTGAAATAGCAAGTAGGCCGCTGGTTGCTGGTGGTCTGAATTTCTTTTTGGTTGTCTGGCTGGGCTTGGCTTGTTTCGACATCCTGATCTCAGGTCGCCCCCGTTTGTGGATTTATTTATTGCTGGTTGTCTGCGCATGCTTTCAGGCGAAACCGATTCGAAATCTTCACGTGTTGTATTTGCATGGCCGCTTTGGTTTTGAAGAGCCTGCGTTGTATCATCTTGCATGGCGTTTGTGGTGCTTGCTTGTGTTGGTGATGCAATTTTATCATTGATCAGCCGGATGGGCAGATTTGTTTGCAGGGGGTTTTGCCATTTACTGTTAGTATGCGGTTTGTGTTTCCTCACTACGTTGACAGTAGCCTGTGGCTAGGTTGTGATTGATTGAATCAAAGGCGCCTGCATGCTCCAGATTCAAGTAAAACTTCGAATAAGTCTGCATGTCCTGAATTTGGGGCTGAGACTCAACCCGCGTAATCAGAGCGTGGGGCTGTTTGTGCTCTCGACTTTGCCTTCGATTCATGCCATCTCTCAAGGTCCCACCGGCATGGGACCTTAGATGGATGCAGTGTCCCCTGTGATGTGGTTGTTTGCAGCTCATTTTCATTTCTGGCAACTGATGATCAAAGTTTTGCAATTGTTTGCTCAGCTTATGCTGGCTTGAATTTGCACCTTCCCTGATGAGTTGATTGATCTGTTTGCAGATTACAAACCCAAAAACCATAAAGAAGATGAAAGCCTCCAAAAAGCAACGGAAGTTGTTGCGGACAGCTGCGGGTACATGATACCAATACACGTGATTGGTGTAACAGATGATTTGCGAACATTGTGTTCACTGTTTACCGCCGATTTGCCATTTAAAGCTATTGTGACATAGGGGGCACATGTTGAGCCGCAATCACTGTAGTATCTGGTTCCACTTGCCATGATGCACGTTAATCTAAGTATCTTTCATGTGCGATAGCATGGTGCTTTTAGTCTGCTGCCGAGTTTGGATATGAATAGTCAATATCACCACATATTTTAATAAGGCAGTAGCTTACTGAAGTTAGGCAGGAATGGGGGAGCCAGCACTCTCTCGCTCGTGCAAGTCGATCCGAGTAGCAACTAATTTATTTCAATTATTTATCGCACTCGATTTAATTGCACATTCTCTTCATACTATATTTTGTTCCAAGTGCAGGACTACCAGTTTGAACGCATACCTGTAATGAGCATTTCAACCTGAATTTTATATCATCCTCAAGTATGTAAATTGCGTATTTTTTTAGATGGAACTGTAGAATGATAATAGAAACACCAAATGTATACCGGTACAATGCTTATGACAGGTATACAAATGGTTGCCACATTCACCAATTGATGGTGCTCAGAACTAACGACCTATTTCTTGTAATTATGGTGAGTAATGCGGCCATGGTCATTGGTCACTGATTTTTGCAGTAAAGTATCTCACACAAACATGAAGACACAACCATTGGACATGAAACCATCTTGTTCCAAAGATAATATAATATTCCAAAGATCCGATGGAAACGACCACATAAACAAAGCTCATGTGCAAACCATTTATTGTTGACATCCCATAAGCCCAATGGAAGGCCACAAATCAAGGCTCGTATGCGAACTTGTCGAAATAATCTGTGCAAAAACTGCTGTGTAAGAAAAAGGGAGCATGAACATGACAAAAGCTTTGTGTTAACAATAGCGATAATTCAATGTACGGACGACTATCAAACCTCTATCAACCAGCTCTTCTATGCATGCCACTTGGCACACCAAATCTGTACAGTACCTGTCTTGGTCAAAACACACCAATCGTCCACCAGTGAACCTCAGCCGCGGACATCCCCATCCAATGAATGTACCTTAGAATAAGTGCATCAATCCACTTTCTAGAAGCAGGCAAGTTCTATGGGTAGCCTAAGCATGGCTACTTCTTGGGGAATGCAGAAACCGTCCTTGTCGAAGCTGGCCTTGCTGCGGTTTTCATACTAGTTGCAGTCCCCATTTGCGCGTCTGTTCTAAGGGATGAGATGCCAGTGCCTCTACTGAAGACACTGGCACCACTAACAGCCCCAGCTGCAGCCCCTCTCGACGATGATGGTCGAATGAATCTTGACATTCGGTCTATCCTGTATCCTCCGTTTGAAGATGACCCTGTCCCCTCATCTGCCCGAATCTTGATAGGAATAGGCACCCCAGTGCCACCCCCTCCGCAACTGTTGCACTGCATCTCCCCTGAACCTGCGCAAGTACTGCACCCAACATCCCCGTCTGACCACCTCTGGCAGAAGCACGGCACACGGCCTCGCCCATTGCAGGTAGGACAACGGTTGTAGTCTGCCTGTTCTCTTTGTCGCTGCAAAGAATGGAACATAGATGGAGCTGTCAGATCATGAATCTTGACGCCGCATGTCTCAAATCTTCTGATCGAGTCATCTATCCAATTCTGCTCAAACCCCTTTCTACGGTGCTGCTCGGCTTAGCACCAGCATGCAGCTGCGACTTTGACTTGCAATGATCGCACTATACCAATGCGAAGACATCTGCAAGGGACACCAAGGAAAAATTTGCAAGAGGCAGCCAGTTTCATAAAAGATAACCCCACAGCAGAAAAACAGAAACCCCAGGAGAGTCACAACCCTGTTCTGAGGAAGAAAGATGGACTCCAGCAACACCCCTCCTCAGATCAAACAAAGACACAGGTCTCCTGCACCTCCAAATTTTACATAAAACAAGGCTCTGGCGAAAAATCTGGGGCAAAGACATAGAGTAGTCTATCTGAGAATCGTCTGATAAAGCTACCATTCAAGCAGATCCACATATGACTCATGTCTTTGCAGGACCTAACCTGACCCCCTTCAGTACCAACATGCTTCAATCCCGTTAGCTTAATCTCTCAAGACCTCGCAGGTTGCACAATGAACTGCAAGCTGAGAAACAAGCTCAAACAACCAACCAAGGCTCTGCGAATAACCTGATGCAACCCCATGCATACACTGCAAGCTGAGAACAAGCTCAAGCGACCAACCAAGGCTCTACAACAACCTGATGCGACCCCATGCATACAGATGAGCCTCGTGCAGAGTCGAAAGAAAGAGCAGAAGACATTAAGCACAGGATTAATTCCTGCGGCACAGACAGATAAGGGAAAGGAAGGTGCAAGGACTCAAGATGCTCACCTCCTCCCAATCCAGAAAACTTTTCAGCAGGACTCCCCCAGCCAGCAGACCGGCAGTGGCAACCCCCTGCACCACAACTGGGGCTACGAGCACAGCTGGCATGCTGTTTCTTCTTGATCTTCTCTTTTGTGCAAGCCTGAGAAGCAGAGAAGCTGCCTATCTCTACAAATTGACTTGGCGCCGTTCTTTGCCTCCTTGTAACTCTTCTTTTGCTACCGCTACCTCACAAAAGCACTGTGGAGCACTTCTGGCAATGTAAAGCTGGAAGGCGAGCTGAATGTAAGGTGTCCTACAATCTCCTTCACTGTTCCTCGCGAACCTGTCTATCCAGATTCCGCCAGTTCCGTTTGGAAGCAGCTGCGCCCCTTTCCCCCTTGGTTGCTTCTTCCTCTTACATGCGCTGGTTTCAGGGAGGATCCATGCCAGCCGTCAACGTCATGCGCGTTCCTTCAAGCTTGGACAGCTCAGGCGGGGCGCGAAGTCACGACCGCCATACGCCGGCCACCCAAATGCAGGTGGCTTCTGAGAGGGACACACGTTTCCATGCTTGTGGTCGATGGCAGATCTTTGATCCATCGGGCGGCATGCAATGAACCACCTCGGCTGTCACTTTCTGGGTAGCAGGTGCTTATACATACGCTATTGATTTGGCGCGGAAGTGACGTGCCCGGGCAGGAGATCGAAACCGCACCGTGGCCAAAGCTGAAGTCAAACAAGCTGCGCACCGTGCGCACTGCGCAGTGTGTGCATGCCTGCTGGATGACATTGCATTCGACTCCACGCAAGGGCTGGGAAAATCGGTTGGGGATTGTGCTGACCATGCGCGCCTGTACGTTTGCAGATCTGCTTGAGAGAACTGAGTTGGGCGTCGCATAACCGCCTGTCGGCTACGCCAGGGTACGCCTTCCGCTGTTTCGGACCTTGCTGTTTCTTCTCACCCCACAATCAGATCTAAGATATTATTGCCCTTGCGCACCCGCGATCCTTCGAACTCGTGAAGTGAACGGCTGTCGATCGAAGCTCTGATACAGTGGTTCCGAGCTCTTCGCGCAAGATCTCAACTAGGTAGGGCGAGGTGAAGTGCGATCTTGAAAACTGCGTTCCAATGCTGACTTGGTGAGCTGGCATGCAGGGCGCCAGGCTTGCGCATGAACGGCAGTCTAGGTGGCCTGGTGGGAGAGGTCCAGGGAGCGCGGAGTGGCATTGGTGGACATTGCCAGGGCGCCAGAATGGCGCCTTCCATCCTGTGGATAGCCTTGGCCGTCACCTGCTTGAAGCTCCTGTTGGTGCCGTCTTACCACAGCACTGACTTTGAGGTCCACCGTAACTGGCTGGCCATCACGCACTCCCTGCCCGTCAAACAGTGGTACCTTGATGAAACCTCTCCCTGGACCCTCGACTACCCTCCCCTCTTTGCCTGGTTTCAGAAACTGTTGGCCCTCCCTGCGCCTCTAGTTGACCCTCTGATTGTGGACGTGAAGAAGGGGTTGGAGTATGATGCCCCCATGGCGGTTTTGTACATGAGAGCGACAGTCATGCTGAGCGACGTGCTTTTGTTCTTCGCCGTGCACAACTATGCGTGCAGTCTTCCAGCAAGCAAGCGAGCGCTTGCCGCTGGTGCGGTCATTTTCTCCCCAGGTCTCATCATGGTCGACCACATTCACTTCCAGTACAACGGCGTTCTGCTGGGGCTGTTGATTCTGAGCATTGGCTTGATCAAAAGCGGGCGGGATGTGCTTGGTGGTGTTCTTTTTGCGTCCCTGCTGTGCAGCAAGCATCTCTTCATGGTTGCGGGACCTGTCTATTTCGTGTACTTACTACGCCACTACTGTCGAGGGCCTCGGAAGTTTGTCCGCTTTGTCGTGTTGGCGGCATCCGTGCTGTCAGTGATCGGGGCAGCATTTGGACCCTTTGTATATTACAAGCAGATACCGCAAGTGATGTTGCGGTTGTTCCCCTTTGGCCGGGGGCTGACGCACGCTTACTGGGCGCCAAATGCATGGGCTTTGTATAATAGTGCCGATAAGGTGATGTCAGTGGTGGCACGGAAGATGGGACTAAGGGTGGCGGAGAGGGCAGGGGCACTTACTGGGGGATTGGTCGGGGAGTCTGGCGGACATGTTGTTCTGCCTGAGGTAAGCAACTTACTTTGTTGGCGTGGTATGCGAAATCTGTGCGGCTTGAAGGTTGGTCTTGCTTCCTCTTACCCGAGGTAGCAATACTGATCTGAAACAATTGAGACGGCAGACTGTAAGACAGCTGAATTTCTGCCATGAAAAGCCTTCATTTGCTCTACGCGCGCGTGAGCTTGATTTAGGTTGCTTAGCGTTCTTGCTTGCAGTGCACCGCTGTGAGTTGGCTTGCAGTGCACCGTCGTAAAGTGAATCGACCTATACATTTCCTTGCTGAGATCTGGCATAAAGTCTAGCCTCCCTTTGTTACCACTGAGGGGAAGTCTGTATAGTATGCCGGTTGTTGAAGAATCAGGACAGAAAAGGAATTGCGGACTACTTACCCTGCGAAAGGTTTTTGTGTGTCTGTTTCTCTGGACTCAGAGTGGTCGTTTAGGACCATTTGGCCCCTTGTTCGAAGTCGCTATTGATTCCTTATCCAATTGGGGATTCCCTCACATTGGAAATATGGAGGCCCGATTCTGGAAGGATTCAACATCTCGATTCCGATTCTTTTGACCTACGAAATACGAATCCTCAAAGGCAACGTCCTGCATCAACCTTTTCTATAAAGCCGATCATCTTTATAAACTCCCTACTCAAGCCTCTCTACTCAAACACAGATCTCGAAGTCCTGATATTGCACCTGATCACATTCCCACAGTCCATGCCACTTGCCCGATTATGTACCACAGATAGATTGGACGCCTTTCCACCCCCCCCCCGGTCAAACGTATGCGCAGGTGACCCCCCTCTTGACCGCCCTTCTGGTGCTGCTGTCCTTGCTCCCCTGCCTCGTGCGCATCTGGCGCAACCCCCGCCCTTCCGAGTTCCTGCGCTGCGTTGCGTATTCGTACTTATGCGGTTTTATGTTCGGGTGGCACGTCCATGAAAAGGCGATCCTGACGGCCGTCGTGCCTCTGGCGCTTTTGGCGGTGGAGTCTCCGGAAGAAGCGGGCCGCTACTTTTTTCTCTCTACGGGTGAGCCGAAGTTGGTTCGCATCCTGGCGTTTCATCTCAAGGCTTCTCTCAGTCATCTTATTCGAATTGAAAAGTTGCGGTCGTTTTCATCGAATCGAAACGTTGCGGAGGTCTCTCTTTGGCTTGCTCATACTTGTTGCAGACCCTTCGGGTAGGTCGATCGATCTGGCAGCTTTTACCATGTAGTTTTGAGTCGGATCTGGGACATACTTTTGAAGTCGAAAGTTCGGGATCTAGGCGTCAATTCCGCGACTCCAAGGCGTTGCACTCTTATTGGCCGCTCTTCAAAATCCTACACTTGTAACCTCTGTTTTCCGATCGTTCACAGCCTATAAGTTGGCAACTTACCTTGAAGCAGCACGGATTGTCAGCTTTGGCCGCACTGCTTCACGTCGTTTCGTGTCTTTTTCTGCAGTGGCGCACTTCTCGCTTCTCCCGCTCCTCTTTGAGCCCCGCGAGTACCCCATCAAAGTCCTCCTCACTGCGCTCTACTGCCTTGCCACGTCCGCCTGCCTCCAGGACCACTTCTCCGGATCCTCAGACAATCCCCAAAGTTCAGAACCGAAGACCGCTAACTTGATGTCAGCAAAGTCGCCGGACAGGTCAGAGGTGACGTCAGGATGGCCCGAGCACGACGCACAGGTCAGCGGTGGTGAAGGTACAGAGGCGAGGAAGCAGGGATTGCTGACGTGGCTTGAGCGGGGTTACCTTATAGGGCTTGTCTTCGTTGAGTTGTACGCGAGCTGGGTCCATCCAGCGCTGCTCGGCGGCAAGCTTCCCTTCCTGCCGTTGATGCTGGTGTCCACTTATTGTGCTTTGGGGATAGCGTATGCCTGGGTACTGCAGCTAAGACTGGTTGCGCGGACACCAAGCAAACAGAGCATGCAGTGAGTGTGTGACGGATCCTGCTTTCACTTACCTAATCGTTGTGTTTGGACGTTTTTTGCGGGTATTTGAGCCGCAATCGCAGCGGCCAGCTTCAGTGCCACCATGTGCTTCGAGTGGCAACAAACCATTGAGCTTTTGAGTCATGGTTCGAAAAATGCCCGGCCCATGTGGGCGGCTGCGCTGCTCGTAATTTACTGGTCGACCGGGTCAAGATTCGGTTGAGGTGCACCGTAGCCAACTTGTTTGCATGGTAGCTTCAGCAAAGCGTGAGTGCGCAATAGCGATAAGCGTCGTAACCTAAGTTTACTGGCAATGCAAGTGCTATCTAAGTTTGAAATCTGCAGTCTTCGCTTATACCGAAAAAGTAAAACTGAGCGCGCAATCGAAGTTTCCAATTACTCATATTTGCAAGTTCGCATGTATCATACATACAGTTGGATAGTTGTGCGACGGTGCGCACATCATCACTCAAGCATGGACTAGCTATATCCAACTTTGTGTAACTATCTAGCTAATGTAAGTATCACGGCCCCGGGCGGGGTGCTATCGCGCACATGCACTAGGCCGTATACGTGCATAAGCCATACATGTGCCGGCACGCAAGCCTGTACGAGGCGGCAGGTGCGCTTCTATAGCGAGTCTGATGCAAACACAACATGAAGTATAAGTGACTTGCGGGCTCTTAAGCAGCCACCATATACGGTAAATCACAGCTAGCTTGGCACTCAGTGAAGTCAAGGGCAGCCGCCGGCCATGTGATGCGAAAGCGCACCGGGCGCCGCGCGCACAGGCTAAGTTAAGCGTGCAGCATCATTGCACTACCGTACATGATAGGCGCCCATAACTTGGCCATAGAGACCGGGACGGTCTTGGCAAAGGATAGCTCGAAGTGAAAGGAGGTTATTAGTTTGTAACTCGGGCAAAGTCGAAGACGAACTTCATTTCGTTTTCGACTGTTCGCGGCATATTGCAACCTAAGAACCGAGTTTCCATTCATCTTTGACGGCCACCATGAGCAAATAGACGCCTAGACGATCGAGTTTCTGAACCTACAGGACAGTTACGCTATAGGCCGGTTCATTCATCTTAGCAATCAAAGGAGAGCTAGTATGATGCAAGGACTCAATAGATAGATTCGTCGACTAAGCCGATCACGTGGCTCCGAACCGACGTTAATAATGATAAATAAATAAATAAATGCATATTGCAATATGGTCTAATGAAGCTCTCGTGCAAATAACATGCCAAGGTACCGTGCACTCAGTATCGATCATGGAGCAAAGTGAGACTCATATCCGTTGACTCATTGACTCAAGATATCATATTCGTTTCGGTGGCACAATTGCGTCTGATCATTAGTATGTCTAGTCAGTGGCCATGTGATCAAACAATTGATGCCTGCAGGAAATGGTCGGATACAGCCAGACTCTTACAGGAAAAACGCAAGGACTAGTACACACGCTTGTCCATGGGCCGTTAAGCTGCCTGCTGCGCCCGCGCCAGTGAGTATATTCAAATTCAGTTCCACGAATCGTACTATTTTTTTCTTGCCACGGTGGCGCTTTTGTAGGTACTAAAAATCAAGACGGCCCCGTATTTGCCAGATTTTAAGGGGCACGTTCAATGCCTTAGGGGCCTAATAACTGATCTAACTTATTGATAACAACGACGAATTCTTTTACCGATTTGTACAACTCAAAGTTCTTGTATGAATGTTGACGACCCCAACTTGTGCAACAGGGCAGTTCAAGTAGTATTACCTATACTTCCGTACAGTTCGTTATTCGCTACCTGTACTTATACCGCAGCAGCGCGTATGCAAGGAAGCGGTAGAGGAAGCACATAAAAACTAGGATCACGGCTTCGACCGCGCCCCCCCCCGAGATGTTATCAAACCCGGTCAACTCCGGATGCTGGTGAATGTCGCACACAAAAAGCGGCGGTTGGGAACACCGGTAACGGTGGTTCCGGTCGAAGTTGAGCCGCAGGAAAAGCTTATACGTGTACGTAGTAAAACTGAGGTACTGGCACCAGCCAATCCAGTGAGGGGGAAACCGGCTGAAGAAGGCGGTGACGTTAAGGGAAGCGAGGATGAGCAGACACCCCGTGAGCACCCCGGTCTTGATCTCGCCCCAGAAGGCGCCGACGGCGAGCCCGAGACCGGATGCGACCATGGTGTTGAGAATGGTGAGGAGGGTGTGGAGGACAAACTCGCCGAAGCCGGGGTTGAGACCGACCATCCTGGAGAAATAACAGAGAGTGAAGAGTGTGTCAGGTTAAGGTTCGTGGAAGACCGCAGAGGATCTCACGAAAAGGGATTTAGTACTAAAAGAATAAAAGTGGTAGGAAGGCTCAGGACGAACTTCGAGAGCAACGAGGGTAACACGAAGGAGCTGGAGAGAAGAGTTTCAGAACCACGGGAATCGGGGGAGAAGGGTGAAGCGTCAGCCCCAACCAAGGCCCTTGCATTCCTACGTCGAGTAGATGAACTCAACCTGGAACTCAGTGTTCTTATCTTTCCAATCAGGCTAACCCATGGCAGTCTTGCATGTGATGAGCGGATTTGATCAGATGTCGATGTCCAGGACTTTGAAACGAACTTTTTCAGAACGACTCAACGAGCAGTTTGTGTACAGAGAGACCCGGATTAGGGGAACTAGAGCGGGCTCACCAGTGGTAATGGCGCAGAAGATAATGGGCGCTTCGATCACATCTTTTAGGTAGAGAAGAATCGGTGGGGGATGTCCGGGCCTTTGACAAGAGATGTTCCTATCGAAGTCAGTGAGCAATGGGCGACAGAGAGTCTCGTACCGAAAAAACTAGAGCGGGCTCACCAGTAGGTGATGGCGCAGAAGATGAGGGGCGCCCCGATCTCGTACGGCGTCTCCAGCACGTAGTGGTGGCACAGCCACGCGCTGATGTGGTACATCCCGCCCGCCTGCTCGCGCGCCAGCAGCGGCTTCACCTGCACCAGCACGACGCCAGGCTGACGTCACAGTCTAGATAGCTGACGTCCTATTGGTCTAAGAGATCCAAAGCCCTTTTCGAGCAGGTAGACTGGGCAGTATGACACTGCGGGCTTCTTCGCCGAAACTGCAACACTCAGTTGGCGACGACAATCAGCTCGATCCACTCAAGTCGTATGCTGACAGCGGAGAGCTTCACAGCAAGAATCTCCCGAGCTGGGCTTTCACCACGCGTGTGCAGTCCGTCGGTTTGCAAAAGTTGCACAGCCTCTTGACACGCGATGTCAACCTTCGGAAAACAGTTCCGCAGGACTGTCCAAGGGGCTCTCAAAGAGCAGGGGGGCATCTTGGCTTGCCTGGTTGATGAGGACGGTGGAGGTGAGGCTGGGGATGAGGCTCCAGTAGAAGATGGTGAAGAACAGCAGCCCCGCCTGGTCGCGGATGCCCTGCGCCATAAAAAGGCGCGGCGCTCAAGCACTAGAACCGTGCTTCACTTTGCTTGATTCAGGTCTTCTCAACGACCGGTTGCGGTCGGGCGAAGGTCGTCGGTTGAGCATTTAAGATTGGGTCGGTTTGGACTGAGGGTTCTTCGCTTGATCCGGAACCCTTTGGCCAAGATGTGACAAACGTGGAACCACATAAGCGCCCAACCGGAGAAGCGACGTCAGGGCTGAACCAAGTTTTGGTTACAGTGACAAGCCGAGTACTCTCGCCGAACGGAACTTTCGCAGAAATACTCCCCCTCGAAGAAGTAGAGCAGTTTGCCCTTTGCCATTCGTAAACGACTCTTCTCCGAAAGCAAACGTCTGACAAGCACACATAAGGGAGAGACCGCAAGTCTATCGGATGTGACGCAGACAACAGTCAAGTCGCCGAACCAGCAACGGTTCCCTCGCAAGGTGAAGCGTCGTGAAGGAAATCTGGATTCTTTCAGCCGTGTCTCACGTCGTAGGTGTCAGTCCGCTTGTACCAGTAGCAGCCGATGAGGAGCGCTTGCAAAATGACGGACGCCAATTGCACGCGCGTGTACCAGTCCATCTGGCTCGCCTGTAATGGATGCAGTGCGAAGAGTTAGCAGCGAAAAGCTGGTGCTTTGAACCCCCTCATTGCTAAACCCGGAACTCTGAAGACTGAGAGATCGACAGACGTTCGACCCAGGATCAAAATCTGCAATGCGCTGAGATGGAAGGGCACACGCAAAAAGCAGTGCGAACGTTTGCACGACATCCGTAGCCATAGCGACTCGAAGAAGGGGTCAGAAACCTGCGCGGAGATCGTATCCGTAACTTTGTAGGGCCAGATTTTAAGCTAGGACTCCGAATGCACAGACTGCTTGGTTCTTCGTTATGCCCCACTCCTCAACCACCTCAAACCGTTGATCAAAGAAGCAAAGAGATTCCAACATGCGGACGGGCTTCAACGAGAAGTCTAGACAAACCCATTTGTTGTGCATAGCCGACTCTGATCAAAAGCTCGCTGATCATCCTGCAAACGTCAAGCTTTCTCAACATGCAAACCAAAGCGAAATGGCATGCGGAGCTCAAGCTGACTATTTCAGCACCCGCCCACCTTAAAGCCGCGCGCGAGCAGCGTTTGGAATTGGAACCACCAGCTGGTCTGCCATCGCACCCCGCCGCTCACGGCCGCCGCCCCGGGGGGCGCCTCGTCGCTCTGCTGATTCCGCTCCGCCTCCTGGCGCTTCGCCCACAGTCGCATCAAGTTCACCGTCGTGCCGAAGTGAATCGAGCTGCGAAAACGGAACGCTGGTTTATATAAGCAGAGACGTGGTAAAGTCGTGGCAATTGTGGCGCGGCTGATTCAGTGTCTGCTTGTAAAGGGAGTGGAAGGAAGGAAATCCATTGAGCGTCGTGCCGAAGTGGATCGGACAGGAGTTTGAGCGTCGTGCCGAAGTGTACGACACGCGAGAATGGGGGCCAGCTGTGTGGGGTGGAACCGCATAAAGTTGATATGCGCGACGATAACGAGTTTGCTGCGAAGATAGTGGAGAGGAGACGAACATCCACCGTCGAGCCCGTATGGCTCGACCCGCGGTCAAGGGCTGCGACCGACGCTTACCAAAGCATCGAAATCCCGAAGGGCGAAAAAGAAGGGCACTTCAACACACTGCTGCGACAGGCCGTCTGTCCAACCAAGACACTCGATCCCACTCTTTGAATCACGTGTTTCCTGGATTTTGAGCTCGAGTCGGGCTTCACTTTGGTACTGGCTTTTGGCTCACCCGTCGCTTGGCTCCGATACGGCTAGGTCCAGCAGGTACTCTGCGGGGCTGACGCCCGCGCTCGGGCTGTGGCCAATGGACGCGAAGTAGGGGAGGGCCTCAGCGGCCAGGCCCATGTAGATGGGGTTCCCCTGAATACAGAAAAGGGAAGATCAGGGAGCGATCTAACCAAAGCTTAGAAGCGACAGCGGGTCTGCTCGTTGGTTTCGCGTTGGAGGGTTTAGAAGAAGCGGGAGGAGGGAATGCAGACATCGCATGCAATCAGGCCGTGACAATGCGAGCAGAATAATCTTATTTGGATTTGCGAGCTTCTGGGCGTATGACCGTGACGCTTCGGAAAGGGGACACACGAGTTCGCCCGGCTTACAACGGCTGCAAGCATCGTTGGCGCGCAGAATCTACCGGAGGCATTCCTTCTAAACGGGAAAGAAGCGTTTTGTGCGGGGGCTTACCTGGGCCAATAGGAGGACGAGGTCGAACATGCCAAACACGCGGTTGCTGGGCTGCTTCATCGTCGCTGCAAGGCCACAGCCACACTGAAAGTCAGCGCAATTGCCCCGTTAATACAGAATGAGGAGACGGCACAAGCTCGCTCCGCATGTATCATCAAAGGAAAACTCGACAGCAGGTCTAATGCTTGTTTTGTGCACCGCTCAGAACCCACCACCGGTTCTGTTGCGAATTCTCCAGGTGGGGGCAACTTCTGCGACTTCATGGGTGAGAATTAGACGCTGATAGGCCAACGTTCTCACGAGAGAGGCTGTGATGGAAAAGGATGGACGGTTTTCTCTGGAGTTGCGCATGTCTAGCGAGAAAGGAGTAGCTTTTTGAACTTCTCGATGCGGACACAAGCACGGATCTGAACCCGGAAGTTGGAAGTCAGGAAGCTCAAGGGGCGGCCCCGCGAGAGCCTTACCTATGACAGTGCGCCCTGTGGCAGCATACGCAGCCTGCACAAAGAAACTGACAGCGTCATCGGTGGGCTCCCGAATTGCCGAAACGAGGGCCGCCAAGTTCTTCGAACATAAGATGCAAGGACACTATGCCCAACCCGCTAGTGCACATGATCTTGTCAGAAAGAGTTGGAAAGTCCAGCATTTCGAAATAGAGGAGGCCTCAGTGGGTAATCGCAAACCCTCCGCACGTTTCCAGAATGACATTATTGTTATTGTTGTATGAACCCAGGCAACAACCGCAAGCACCGTCGTTGTTGCTACTGGTCAGACCCCGCTTCCCAGCTCGACTAAAGCGGAATTAGAAATCGTGGTCAATAACGATAACCAAACGAAACTTGACCAACGAACGTACCAGGGTTCGGGTGAGGCGCAGCGCCAATGCGCCATCAAGGCCGCTCGTGGGCTCGTCTAGCAACTGCGCAGCATTGAAGATACAATTCAGAAGGTTGGGCAGCGGAGGTTGTGTTGAGGCCTCCGAGCTTGTCAATGCGTTCAGCCGAGCACGTTCGACGGCTCTGCTTTCGGTATGCCAGCAGCGCTTGACGAGCGAGGGACCAGAATGGAGGGACGCCCGGGCTGAGCAACAAGTGGCGCCGGAATCCATGTTGACCGTTGAGTTCAGAAGCGGTAAATGATCAGGCAAGTTGTTGGGACGGAGTTGACCACGTTGGGATCGTACCTAGAGTTGAAACTATCTCCCGGCCAATTCTATATTCGACAAGCCAAGGTATTGCTGGGACTAGAAACGAGAGACGGCGGAGGGCTACATTTGCAAATACGGGCTGAGGTGTTGCCGGAAGTAGAGCGGAGATATGGTGGACGGATGCTTTGATCAGCAATGATGTTTCGAGGGCGAGCGAAGGAGCGAGGCGGCTGCCACGTGGCACGCACCAGGAGCGTGGGGTTCATGACCATCTCGACCGCGATCAGGAGCCGCAGCTTCTCGTTGGTAAGCGCCCGCCCCACCAGCACGTTGGCGCACCTGAAAACAGCCCAACGGATATTAGAGAGGAAACGTGCTTTGCCAGTCGGAGATGATTGAACAGAGTCATGGCACACCCGGGCGCGTAACTCTGGAATGGCAATACGACGGGGTTATTGAAGTTGTTTTTGAATTTCGGCTGCTGAAGGGCGGGTATCAGCAGTTTTCTCCGGTATCTCGAGAGTGCCACGAGCTTTACGACTGCCCAGCTATGACGCGGAGAAAGTATGCCTGAGAGCACGCGACTTGCAGCCTGCAGCTGATATAACTTTAAAGTAGAAGTAGCGCTGCCGATGAGCACGACTCCTTCTGCCCAGAGGTCAACCGGAACTAAGGCAGCGCTTGACCGCTCCCCGAGTGTCACGTCAGAGGCCCTGTCTCAAGCATCGAATACCAAGCATGGCAACCGAAGTGGTCAAAAGTGGTCAGTGAGCGACGCCCGTGAGTAAGTAGAATGTAAAGCGTTTTCAAAGAACCTGCCAGGCGGCTTTGTATCTATACACGAACCTCAAGTTAAAAGGAACGCAGGATCAAGAACTTGATTAGAGGGATGCGACGTGCATCTAAGAAGTGCAGCTAAGAAGTGCTACAGATGTCCCCGTTAAAAACCTACCGAAGCGAGGAACAGGTTTATTATCTGAAAATAGAGAAGCGTAAATGCCCCGTCACAGATTAAAGAGCCCCGCTCACGATTGGAGGTCCATGGAGTCAATGACGTGTTCCATGCGCACGATGCGGTCGAGCTCCTCCGTTGCCTGCGGCATGCGCAGCCGCGCCGCGTACAGCAGCATCTCTTTGACCGTCAGCTTGGACTGCAGCGCGGCCACCTCCAAGTCGACGTAGCCCATCTTCTGGGTCAGCCGCTTCGAGAACGGGGCGCCTGCGGAGACGCGAGGTGAAAGATCTGTGAGAATCTGCTTGCAAACGGAGGAAATAGAAGGCATCGCCGTTGCTTATATCTAGATATTGAGATTACGGGGAAGTATCAGCAAGTCGACGTAGACCAAGTTTTGGGTGCGCCGCTTTGAACAAAGACGCCTGCAGGGAACGAAGGAAAAATTTGTTTTCATTTCCCCGGCCATGTAGTCCCTAGAATGGCCGTCTGGATTGCGGGCTGACAATGGCAATATTAATTTTCGCAAATTGCAATTACCCCCCACTGATGCACTGCCTTCCATGCAACTGTCCCTGATATTCAAAATAGAATGTGCCCCCGAGGATTGGATATTTCAGAGCATGAGACAATCAAACTCAAAACAGTTGACTGTGGTCGGGAAGAGGTCGGACTCTTCGAGAGCTACAAAAGGAAGTACGGATGCTACCCAAGTGAGCTCTCACCGTTGTATGTGATGTGCCCCTTGTAGCCCTTGACCCTGCCCGCCAACACTTGCAAGAACAGAGTCTTCCCCGCACCTGCATCAGCCGAAGTGTTGATGAGCAAGAGGCGGTGGGGCCGAGAGGGTTCTGCCAGCACTTCTATGATGGAAAAGAGTTCGAGAATCAGGAGCAATCGGTGTACCGTTGTCGAGCTTAGAGGAGGCATCCAACTTGCCGGATCGAGTCCTGTGATTCATGAACTCCCAAATTTCGTTCCTGCCTTCTTGACTCGGTTCAAACCATAGATCACTTTGTGCTTCTGGCTGGTGTCGCGTCAGCCTCCAGTGCACCGGACTGTTGTATCCCGCAACACGAGGACGCAAAACCATTGCCGACGTGTAGCTGCTCAAGCTTGACTGCTCCATTCGTGCACTGCACTCGTTTTACAGTCCCAAGCCGGCAGCTTCATAGCTCCAATGGCAGTATCTCGTAGCTATAAGGACAACGTAGCTCTAATGCAAATCTCGAAAGCCATAGCACGCAGGCGCAACTGTCTCCTGCATGACCCACTAAAATGAGCCCCCTTATGGGGGCTGCAGAGAGAGGGACATCAAAAGGCCCACGGGGTTGTTTAATCTGAGTATACAGGCCAATCCAGAAAGACTAGCAGCCGAACCCCCAGAAAGATCCAAACCGACAACAACATGGGCTTCAACCGAGACCTCAACCATGATCGACCAAAGAGGATGAACAGCGGGCGAAGGGCGCAGCCAAGGTTCGCGCACATTCAAACATCAAACGAGGGCCAGGTAAGTTAGATCCCCACTTTGGGTGCTGCATATGTTCGGAAATACTTTGGGAACAAACATGGAAAAGATGCAACTTTGAAAGGGAGAGCAGGTGCGCACCTTCGGGCCCCATGATGGCCATGAACTGGCCGGGGCGCACCGTTCCCGATACGTTGTGCAGGAGGCGGCGGCGCATGCCGTCCCCGCTGGGCAGCCGCCGGCTGATGCCGTACACCAGCTTGCTCATCAGGCGCACCGGCTTGTGGAACTCGACCTCACGGAACTGCGCAACAAGGGAGGGTGAGCGTGTGTTTCAACTCGGAAAAGTGGAGTGCTGCTATGTGCTTGGAGTACAGGCATCAAATGGGCAGGGCATGCGGTAAGGCATCACTGCCTGTTTTATCTGGAGAAAGGATCAAGAAGCAAGAGCAGGTGTCATCTAGCTCAGGTTATACAGGCTCAAGGGGGAGCACATGGATTCGCAATTTCAGGGTCGGCTAAAGTTGAGGGCCGGAGGCTGGATCGCTTGGTGTGGGGGCCAGGACTCTTGCCATGAATATGTGTCGTAAAAAATTAGTGACGATCTATCAGTGACAATCTGGAAAAGCATTGCTGATAGACGTGGAATGTAGACTCTTCTCGGTATGCCACCAGAACGAGAGGGAAGGTGGGGCAACAATGAGGATCACGGTTTACGGAAGCAGAAGGATGGCGGTCGCAATAGCCTTCAATCTGGGTGATACATGTTCCCGCAATCACGCCCAAGCAGACCGTCTCAGACTCTTCTTTGCAGCCGCTTCCGACTGGAAGGGGAAAGCCGACGGAAACCGACCTGCACTATGATTCCAGTATCCAAAGGATCCTTCTTCCCGTCAACTTCCTCGACTGTTGTCGTCCGAGTCAGGGCCCGTATCGCTGCGACCACCTGCATCCATCAGGAGGTTATTTTAGCCTACCTCAACTAATCGGACACTGCGGAGAGTGCTGATCTACACTTCTTGGGCACATTGCAGCATTGCCTGCTTCACTTGTGCTGAACAAGCGAAAGAAGCATTGAATGGATCACCGCACACATTGCGCGGCATGCATTGGCGAAGCTGCTCGCAATTCCCCAATTTCTGGGTAAAAAACAGTCTTATGTGTTTCTTCCAAAACGTACAGGCGTCTTTAATAGCAAACGCGCTGATATAGCTCGATGCCGCACTTCATTAAAGAAAAGTCTGCCGTTGCAAGCAGCCAAGGGACCCACATTCTTGTCCTTTCGCTCTCCGTGCGATGCTGACGCTGTGGTTAACCCCGGTCGTGCATCCGCAGATGTGCCCACAACATCAAATGACCTTCGCGCACCTCCGACACCTGTCACACCCCCGCCACCTGTCAGAACGTGGCCTTTCGCCTGCAAAGCCTCCCCCATTACCGGCCGGGGTAGCATTGGGGCCGCATGTGACCCATAATCGGAACTCGTAGAAGACCCGGGCTCGTTAGCCACATGGGCCTGCGCCCCTGCCACATTGCCCCCCACCAAAGCCTGTCCCGCTTCACTTCTCACGATTCCCGCATTGCCGACAGCTGTCGTCTCGCCGTTCGTTACGCTGGCCCCCTGGCTGATCTCAGCCGGTGTGTCCGCAAGCCTGCTCACGAGAGGCCCCCGCCCACGTGCCCTCGCTCCTTGGCCCTTTTCATCAATACCAGTCAGCGGGGCAGCCTCTTCAGGCACATCGTTCTCCATCCCTTTCTGCCCGTATCAAGCACGCCTGGAAGGGAGGCTAGCAATGCTGTACTCAGGCTGCGGGTAGAAGTGCTTCGAGGGGTCCAAGCTGATCCAAGCTTGAAGGGACCGATCTGGTCGACTTTCTATACAGAGAGAAAGTCCTCCGCCATTTCCAAACACGCAACTCTCGTCTTGACTCTTGATCCTTGGCCCAATTGGAAGTTGGGGCTAGCTTCAAATTCATAAGGCCAGCCTGACACTGTGATTGGCAGAGCCTGAGTTACATCAAGCACGTCAAGACCATTGCATGCTTGAAGTAGCTCATCCCGAGATTAGAAGGACGAGATAGCCTGTCACACTTCCATGCATCATATCTATTCGCGGCGATTAGTGACGGTGGTCTGATTCATCAATCTCATCACGTCATGCTAAGAGGCCAGTGAACAAACAGCTGGCACTTTTCATCTTTGAAATCGAAGCCTGACTGAAAGCAGAAGACAAAACGTTCTTACAGATCTGATGTAACGGCACGACTGCGCACCGACTCCCG